CACGAAAAAAGGAACGGAGCACTTGTGGTACCCATGAAGTATCTAATTTATTATATTCCATCATTAATTTTTCAGTAATTTAAGCCTGGATTAGCAGCTTCATATTGAATTTATCGTTCTCAACTTATTTTTAACATATCAAACAAAATCTGTTTCAACCGATGCCAAATTTTTGCCACTCTAAGGAGATAAAAAACTCTCTCGCGATACTAGTGCGGCAGAATTTACCTAAAGTTTCCTTATATAGATATGCTTGAGCAGCATTACGATGTTTTAGTAGATTCGAATTAAAAAAACCAATTTTTCCTTGAGGGATGACAATCGCCAAATACATATAAAGGGGAAAAGGGAAATACATACACAGTTTTCACAGGAATTATTTACAAATGAAGCTATTTTGACATATTTTTTTTTTAAAAGAACTTCAAATGAGAACAAGACTCCATTCAACAACAGAAGAAATAAAGCGACATAGGAAAATTTATAACAAAAATATGAATATTCATCTAGAAGCTACTAACAAACTAGCTAACAGTAAGGTCACATAAATCGATGCAAAAAAGAAATACCTAAAAATAAGACAAAAAATGCCCTTAGGAGAACTGAAATCCACCAAAGAACACATGAAGCCTTGGAAAATTAAAGATTTTTTGTGAAAGAATAAAAACCCAAAATCTTCTTCGTATAATTAGTATAGATTGGGCTAAAATGTTATATTTTTTAAATTTTTTCCTTTTTCTTACGTGCAAATAAAACTATTAATTTATGCTATTAGTACATAGTAAAAGTGATACATCATAAATTAACACTTATTCCATGTATTCCTAATATTCAGCGTAATAATTTCGAGAGTTTTTCCTTCTCCCTCAGTTATTTTTTTATTACTACATCAAAATATCCTGTGATATTTCCAAAACAAAAAAATTATTGATTAAAAAATAGGATGACCACACTGCGAAGCCGTAAATTACCGCTTTGTAATGAAAGTTAATTGACAGGCCTGAACTAAACTTATGTAATTCTGCATTGAAAAGAAGTGGGAAAAAAAATCCGACGGATATTTCAATCATTGTTTTAGAGGTGTGATAAGTTATGGCGAGATCCTGAAGCAATTTTGAAAAACTTTTTTTTAAGGGAAGCAGCTCAATTACTTCTATTTTTATCCCTCATACCAAGAATACCAAGACTTCTCGGGCTATCAGCCTGGGTTTCCTCTGTTAGTGATATTACTAGGATGCTTCCAAACACCATGCGCAGCTGTGCTAGACCCTTCGATTCTCAGCTACATGCCCACCCCTCCCCCCTTACCCCTCTCTCAGTTAAATTAGTACCTTGTGCCCTTTATTTTTACTTTTCTTTTGTTAATATCCAATCCACTATTACAATAAGAATAGAGCATCTAAACAAGTCATCATCACGGTTTCACTTGCATTCTGTTTAAATGCTGTGCAAAATAAAAATATTGGCTTATAAACATGATGAAATTATAAGGTTTTTATTTAAAAATATGTAAAAAATATCTTGAATTACAGTCCTGAAAAGACGAAAACTCATAGCCTGAAATGAAAATTTACAGCGCAGCAAAATACCAGTCAGTACCCGTTGTGTGTGTTGGAATGTACAGAGCTTGTGCAACTCATAACAGCAGTGTTTTGACGAATCAACTTGCAATTCCCTGTGAGAATGTTCCTGCTGGAGGCCGAAATTCTTTTGGAATAAAATGCATTTGAAATGGCGAAAAA